AAAATCCAATAAAAATACTGTTAGTAAGTTTTTAAAAAGTTCATGTAGAAACATAAAAAGAGAATATCTTGAAGTCTGTTGTAATGACATTAATTAAAATAGAAGTGAGGGTCTAAAAATGATCTAAGATCCTCTTGCTGAAGAAACTACATTGCTCAGACATAGGACTGAACGGAATAATTTGGGATTTGAGGAGAAAGCCTTTTCCTTAGGATTACCTCTAATTGAGTCATGCACGATGCGCGGGAGGGAGAAGATAAGCGGCCTAAGTCCTCTCCGACTCCAACCACAAACAACCACAATGGCCAGCAACGCAAGATATTACAATATATGAAATAAGGCCACTTATATCTGAGGGGAGGCTAATCAAAAGGCATGAAATTGGGGTTCATATCATTTCTTAAGGAATGAATCATACCTGGAAACATAAACTTAGTCAGCTACCCTGGTGAGGCCAAGAACCTTGGAGGAGAACTTACTATCTCCACTTTCTTAAACCAGTATAATTTCTGACTACATTCTAAATATTCATCCCTATATCTGCACAAGACTGTTGCTTTCAACCTCAATTAATGAAGCATCTCTTTTTAACAGAGAATCATTATTGAAGAATTCAGAATGGCTAGAAATGCAGAGTTGAAAGGAGCTGATTGTGGCAACTAACGCTCAAGTGATACAAGCACATCTCAACCCTTACGAGTAAGATTCAGGGAACATCATGGATTAAGGCACAAGAAGTCTTTGTAAGAGACATAGGACCAAGAACGTGTGCTGTGAGATTGTCTCTTCCAAGGAAAAGAAAACCAGGTAAGTAAGTGAGACACGAAGTCCAGCTTTCAGACGTGGAGGCTGGTGAAAAGTGGAGAGTGGACATATCTGGATTGATGCACTGTGTGAAACTCTCAAAGAGTGAATGAAACCATTATATTATTATGTAAAATGAAAACATCCTTTAAGAAATAAATGAAACATGAAAGATCAGAATGATAAATGTTTCTAGTCCACCAACATTTTCCTAATACTTCACGGATCCATTGTCAATTGAACTGAATATCTCATCATCCTTGAAACAGGAAGATAATGTGATGGCTACTTTAAAGTTATTCAAATATTTGGTTAAATTTGTCTACTTCATAAAAGAAGTAAATTTATTTCTACATTATTTTAAATAATAAATAGAACTATAAAACGTTTTAGCTCAATAGAAACTTCTATTCGTTTCTTGAGTCTATTGCAGTTTCCAACAGCAGGAAAACATTAGCCTGTCTAGCCAGTGAGTCCCAGACATCTAGTGATCTCTACCTACACGACATTGGAATTCCAAACTGAGAGCATTCGGCTTGACTTATTACATGACAGTTGGAGCCTGAGTTTAGTTTCTCATCTTTGCCTGGTGAGTAATTTATTGACGTAGTCACCTCTGAGCCCATGAGAATAAAGTTAACTAAGCAAGTAGGATGGTGAGATAGCGTAGTATGTAAAGGGTAAGTTGCTTTTCCTGCACTCATGAGGACTGAATTTGATTTTCAAGACACATGTTAAAAGGGCAAGCATAGTGGTTTGCACTTATAGCTGCAGGAGCGAAGCAGATGAAGACAGGAGGATCTGAGGAGCTCACTGTCAGCCCTGTCTAGCCTACATGGTGTGTTCCAAGTCAGTGAGATAGTCTGTCTAAGGAAAAAAAATCGAACAAAACAAAATAGTTCAAAAGGACAGAATGGTTCCTGAGAAACAGCATCTTAGTCTGACCTCTGGTCTTCCCATTCATCCATCCATACACTTTAAATTCATGAATATGTGCACAGTTGAAAGAAGTAAGTTTTTTAACACTTTGAAAATATGAAATTTAGGTCTTTATTTCTTTTTTTATTTTCTGGGATTTCATTAATTAGTAAAAATTGCCACTGTGTATATCCATCAAAGTGTCTTGCACTGCAAATTAATCAATTAAGCTGAAACCTATGGAATTTTTAAGTCATGAGACTGTCCTTATATTATATATATATAATATTATATATATATATATATATATATGCTATATATATATATGCAATTTCATAACAAAATATCACAGAAGGAATCAAAATGGGTGCTTAATCTTTTGTCACACGCAGTGCAAGAATAAAAGAGAAGGATCGTAGTGACATCATTCATGGGGTGCTACTCCAGACTCCTCGCTTCGGCTTCAATCAGAAAAATCATAAGAGTTGGTTGCTCTTATGGCTCGTTATCTGTGTGCTGCAGGTTGAGAATAATTGCTGAATAAATTAGCATCAGATCAGAAAGCATGAAATTAAGGACACAAATAAAGTAAGTCCCAACATAGTAAATTGAAAACAAGTTGAAGACTTCCTAAGTTGAACATCAAGGGCTGCATTTAAAAAAGAGAAATACAGTTTCAGTTAACACAGATCACGAAGTTGAAACCAAAGACATATTTTCAGCTTTTATATTTGCTTTCCTAAGACATAGCCTTCCTTTGGGTAGCAACATCAAGCAGAATATTTCATTAAGAGAACCAAAATTGAAAACTATCTTCTCCTCTGCAGTGTCATTTTTTAGACTAGAACTCATATAATCTGCATATGATCATTTGTTGACTTCGGCATTAGCTCCTAATAATAAATGCTTCAAATGCATAAAAACATATGAGAATTTTGCCTGTGTTATTATAGGAAATTGTGTCAGTTAAGTTCCCTGGTACACGGTTGTATAAAGACGGTGTATAATAAATCAAGAATGTGTAAATATGGTGAATGTATTTTATAATTTGGAGCATCACCTACTACTCTGAAACACAATTATTTTAATAAGTGAAAATATGTGTCTATTCACTAATATAATTTTTGCTTACACAGGTTTACTCACCAACATACACAAAAGGACATCATGACAATCTCTATGGCTATCACTTGAGGTAGGCATTTTTTACCTTCTTTGTATGATGGTGAGGCTCCAGGTGTTTAAATAAAGTGGCTATTTTGAAACAGATTTACTAACTATCCTACACTAACTATCCTCTCTGAGGACAACTCTCTGTTTTGTTAGAGTACTGAAAACTGTATTAAATATAAGAAAGAATAACTCTTAAGATTTTAAGAAGAGTTTTGGACCAAATAAGGGAACGTTGTAGATTATTGCAAACATCTCGATAGCGCTGGGATGACCAACAGATGAGCAGGAATGAGGAGTGACTGTGCTACATGATTTGTGGAATTTCAGTAGGAATCTGAAGGAATTTTGAAGACAATGAATGTGAGGTGCATATTTCAGAAAAAAATATATTCAGAGCCAAATACAAAGTACATACTGGGATAAGGGGTTCCTGGGCAGAGTGTAGGGTGATGGGGTAAGGGGATAACAACTGAAATGTACATAAAGTATCCAATAAAAACTTTAAAAAAGAAAGATTTTATGTTTAGTGTTTAACTCGTATCTTTTTTGTGTGTGAGAGGAGCACATGGGTCTCCAAGAAAGCACATGTATAACACACATAGCATTTTACAACAACGCTGCATGTGCACTGATAGGGCAAAGCCAGCTGAACCATGCAGTGAAAACCATACAAAAAGATGGAGGTTGGGAGATGTTTTTTAAAGCTTTCTCTAAATACAGTGTCGGATGTTTAACTTTGGACAATCTTCAAATATGCACTTGATGTTTCTAAAATTATTAAGCAGGTGACTGTGGCAGTGAGAATTTTTAAAAAGCTTATCCAGCATTTTATTGGTCATATGTCTAATTAAGAACTAAAGTAGTTTCTATAATTTAAATTTTATAATCCTCCCCATCATTAAAATAGATAAAGTTACCTCAGAACAAGACATTAAAGGTGTCATGGTGTGGTATAGGTAAAATTCATAACAGGCATTGTCCAAGGAAGTACTCATTGACTAAAGAGCCATGCTTTTTGTATTATTATATCCATTTGATTCTAATTCATACATTCTCCCCTGCCTGTGTGTATATTCAGAATTATTGATATGACATATGCATGTCATATCAGAGAGAGTTCTCTGAGCAGGTTATTATGAGTACTAACTATGAATTATATGCCTTATGACAACTTAATATGGAAGAAAGTCATTCCTGGACTAGTGGGTTACCAGTTAAATTCTTTATTGAGAAACTGAAGGTTAAAATATTTGAAATAATTTATGGAGAGGCACACTACAAAATATATTCAGGAGATGTTAACAGATATTTAAACAGGATGTAAAATTCTTATAATTCTGAATTAAAGTGCTGTTTTTCTTTTATTAAAAAAAGGACTAAAGAATAATAAAAGAAAGCATGAGACAAATCTTCTAATTAAAAAGAAAAACAAATTAATCCTTATGGATCTTTTGAGGCTGTTGATGAACAATTAATTCCAAGTAGCACAAAACTAAATAAATAAAGATTACATAAACAGATCCTGAGAGATAACTCAGCTGCTGAAGGCTAAGCTCACAACTAAAAATTCAAAAATTATATAAATAACTATAACTAAAAAGCGTAATCTATTTTATTGTGTTGTTGTCTTACTGAATATATTTTTGTCTTTTGTTTTGTTTTTATTGACAGTGAATTTATGATAAATGAATATACTTTTATAAAATGAAAATTTTGGGTTGTTACAGATCATCTTTAAGAAAAATCTACTAAATATATGCAAAATTTGTATTGTTTGAGAAACTAATGCTTCTGTTTGGTCAGTTCTTTTAATGTGGAACAGTAGTTCTGTCTGTGAGCTCTGAGCCCAAGGGTCGTTTAAGACTGGCAAAACCCACAAATCTTTTCACTAAATTTCTTAACTAGCAAAATTAGAGTTATGAAGTAGCGGGAAAAATAATCTTAAGGTTGTGGGTTTCAGAACATGAGGAATTATATTAAAAAGTAGCCACGTTACGAAGATTGAAACCTACTGATGTAGAAGCCAAAATCATTTAAACAGATAGCCATGATTTATACACACACAAACACACACACATACACACACACAGTGTGACTGTACTTACTTTTAGTCACGACGCCTTCTAGATGGATGATGTTTGGATGATCAAACTGACCCATGATACTTGCTTCACCCAGGAAATCTCGGCGCTGCTTTTCAGTATAGCCTACTTTCAGAGTTTTGATAGCCACAGGTAATTCTCTTTTTCCAGGTAGTTTCAAACGTCCACTACAAACTTCGCCAAATTCACCTTGTAATAAAGATAGAGAAACACTGTATAAACTCATTTAGAACTCTTATTCTACTAAAAATTCTAGCAAAACGATAAACTTGTGAAGCATTAAGTTTCCGATGGAAGAAAATAAATTAAAAGTGGGACCAAATATCCACAGTAGTATTAACAAAAGTAAATGTCACTTTTGGAAATGTCTTCTGTATGTGTTCCAAAGACACCTTAGGGCTTACTTGCTTAAACTAAACAATCCTAAATGTAACATTAGATAGAAATTAAAAGAATAAACTGACTATAATTCATTTTGGTTTTTCTTCCTCCATAGTCTACCAGGACCTACTACTGATATTAAAAAAGAAAAGGGAATAAGACAATGATTAATTCAATTGTGTAAACACATGGTCAAGATGAATTGAACAGAGCAAATAATTTCTAGTATTACAAATTCAATATATATATATATATATATATATATATATATATATATATATATGTATTTCTATGTGAGTAAAGACTCTTTACATGGTCCATTAATAAGGCAGACATTTGCTCACTTAAATATCAACTACACAGAAGATAGCATTGAAAGATGATCAGTTACAGACAGTTTTGAAAGTCAGTTGCAAGAGGTTAGGGTTATTCTATGGGAGAACAAGACATTGATGTATTACACTCTGTAGTACAAACAAAGCTGCAACGTCAGAGTTTAGACATTTTCATACCTGCTCCGATAACTCTCTCAATGGTGATACACGAAGCTTCAATCTCCTTGGCAAATTCATGAACAGCTTGATTGGGATCTTCGTAAGTGTGCGGATCAATGTAGGTCCTTACTCCTGGCAGTTTAACTGTAACGGTACATGGGTGTTCATGTCGTAAATAAGGCTGTGCTTTTTTGAATTTGTGAATAGTCAAGTGTCACTGAACTCTGTTACTTCTAAAAATGGTTGAGTTGCAAGAACTATACTTTTTCCTGATTTATGATACTTATAAATGGAGCTATTTTCTTTTATAGCTTAAAATTTGGATGTTGCCATACATAAAAAAAATGTATACATGATTGCATATTTCTGTAAACATATTTCAAGATACTGTTCAGAGAGTGGGACTTGGATACATATTGAGACCATGATGATTATTGAAGAAGGCAAGAAAATAACGGCTTATTTGTTGGTTTTCTCTATAGAGTCATGTTTCTAGGTATTGTAACAAATCATTAAGAGTGATTTTTAAAAGACCAGTTAAAGTAACTTCTCTTCTAGTGCTTCTAGAAGAGAAGTCCAGAGGAAATCAGAACTTCTACTTCTCACTCTGTGTCTGTTCCCATAGATCTGTGTATTACCTGAGCCCCAGCTACCATTATTCACACCAGGATGCTGTTTCAAAGACTGATAGCAAAGACATTGGACTAAGAAGTGGACGCCATGCTTTTAATATGTTATGCATAGTTCTGGTAGACAGACTGAAGTGAACAATCTCTGCCTCTAATCAGTTCTCCAACTGACTCATGCTATGTACCACTTACAGGAAAGAGAACATTTTACAATACTACAATTAAAGCTCTCTGAAGTTTATTTGTATGCTTCATAACGAAACGGGATTTCATACGTTTCTTTAAAAATGTGGTCCCTTTCAGGCCATTTAAGCCAAGACTGCTAACAGAGAGTCTCTGTTCAGCAGGAAATCCCTATTACAGTCCTGGAAAAAGAAGGAGCTGTAAAACTTTCATTCATTAGGCCAGATTCTGTGATTTGATGATGAATTTTCACTCACACTCCATGGAACTTAGAGTCTACCTGAAATGTTGATTCGACATAGAGTAGCATTTTTTTTATAATAAACAAGCATTTTTTATTTTAATGATCATAATGGAAATATTTGTTTTAGAACCAAATAAACCAGTCAAAGGTTGCCCAAAGCCATGAGCTATAAATGCAAGAAGTACTTGCTTGTTTGATAGGCGATGGGTTTAGTCAATGACTACAAATTGCCTAACCTGAGCCGCGGTCATCATCACAATAAAGCCTCTTGCTTTTATTTTGCACAATTTGCTTACTGTGCCCGTTATGAAAGTGCATCTTTTCCTCTTCTGGATCCTGCTTTGCTTTGCTGTAGCCGCACCGCCTAGAACAAAGCGAGCCGCAGTTAGCCACATCCAAACACAGCGAATCAATCACATCTCCCCAGGAGCAGCAAATGCAATCGGACGTTTCTCAAACCCAGAGCCAATTTCCATGCCAGTCATAAGAGATGAGAACGACACTCATTTTGAGTGGAACTCACTTTTTGAGCTGCTATTTTTTGATGCCCAGCAAATCGTGTTACCTAGATTATACTGTTTAAGCCTTCTAAGCCTATTTTTAAGTTCATTACCTCGTATACCACACACCAGGCATCTTCTATTCTCTCTTTCATTTATTTCCAGCTCATTTGCCACTGCCTTTTCCAGCTTTAATTGCTCAACATTTCCTCTTGCTCACTGTCTCCTACCTTCAGCACCCTCATTATATGTATATGTATATGTATATGTATATGTATATGTATATGTATATGTATATGTATATGTATATGTATATGTATATGTATATGTATATGTATATGTATATGTATATGTATATGTATATGTATATGTATGTCTCAGACCGTCCCCATTCCATTTATTGATCCTTACCCTACCTGCGTTAGCAGCTCTTTTCAATCGTATTTACTTAGATGATTATGTTATTGAAGAGAAACACAGATTGCCTCTTACCTCCATCCCCTAGATATTAGTCTCTTGCATTTCTCATCTAGCCGATAATTTGAAAGCGTATGTAAACTTCTCTCATTCTCACATCATGGAATGCTCGTAACTGACTACTTCTTATTTTGTGACTACATATTACCTTATGTTTCTCTCTCTCTTCTCTCTACATTTATAAATGGATATTTTCAACGATCCCAGGCAAAATCTCTGGTAGTCTTCATTCTATTCATTGATTTGCACTCTTTCATTTAACAGCTCTGGGTTAAGTTCTTGGAAAGTTATTTTCTCACTTCTTATATATTGCTTTCGTGGAGGTATTCTAGGACCTTTCAAACTCATTGGACCTTACAGAAAACCTGTGTATTTCTCTCTATTTTTCCAATTGTTCCCATCAATTTTCTGTGACTAATATCAATATGACTTTGTCCCTTAAAATTTGAACATTAATCTTATGTTCTTTACTATGACTCAGTTTTCCCAAGATCAATATGATATATATCCTAAAATCTGTCTCCTCAGTATTCTCCCGACTTCATCATTAACAACCTTTCATTTATTATTTGGAAGTTTGTACCTTCAAAGAGCATCTGTCTATTCTATAGTTTATTTCCTAAGGCATACTAGCTATTCTTTCTTGATTTATATTGGTTTAATGAATATTGTTTTTCTATGGATTCCTGCTGTCCTGGAGTTCACTATGTAGTCCAGACTGACATCTAACTCACAGAAATCCTCCTGCTTCTGCCTCCAGAAAGCTAAGAGTAAAGACATGTGCCGCAGTGTACTCTGACCCTCCAACGTGTACTGGATATTCTTATTGCCAAAACACACTACTTAAGATATTATTCTACTGAATTATCTTCCTACTGTAGTCATCAATAAATGATAAACTATTGAAAATATTCTGCACATTTTCCTAAAATTCACATTCATCTTACTAAACATAATCTAAAATCTCCAAGACAGTTCTCCATGTTTTCATACATTTGACTTTATTGGTTCCTTTTTAAGTATATTCTTCAGGACAGTGTCCAAATATTGATTGCCTTTCTAAGTTTTACTTTGTGTATTCCCCCCTGAACCCCCAACTGCAGGCAGCTCTCCCCTCTCATGGTGTGATTCTCACACTCTCGTGCAATACCCTCATTTTAGTATGATTTTTCTTCACTACTTTTACTATTTGTCAGGTACTTATATGACAGGAGTTAGTATTCATTTACAAATTTCATCAGTGGACTAGTATCTGATTAGGAGTTGGCATTCAACATATTTTTACATTGATGAATGAAGAAATGAATGACTGAATGATGTTTTGATTGTGTCTACACAATGACAGGTATTTGGAAGATGACTATGCTGATGAATAACGAGTGGATGTGATACATGATTAGCCATATAACATTAAACAGCCGGAAAATATGAAAATATTTAAATTATTTTCAGTGAAACTCAAAAGAAGTGATTTTACTATTCATCAGATCCCACCACAAAACTGAATTCATTAAAAATTTCACTCATTACTGAATTAAAAAAATGCAACCAGAATGACTAATTATTTCATTACAAATTTGGTTGACGATTATTGTGAGCTATAGGTACAATGTTAAATGAGTCTTTATCAAAATTGCTCTTTGGTTTTGTATATGGGGTTATTCAAAACATATTCATATATTTTAATATAAAAACTACATAGTTTGTTTTGTACTAAACAGGCATAACTCAATGACAAACATAGTACATCTAATGTCATGTTTTAAAAAGTACAACTACCAGTATTACGTTAAGGTACTAAAAATTAAATTGTATACTACTTCTAATGCATTTTTTGGAAAGCAAAAATAATGTGAGATATATATTTAAAAAATAAGACTACAACGTATTTCTTAATCTTATTACTAGCACTGGCTTGATGCATTTCTTCCTGTAAAGTTCTTAAGACTTGAAACACCTCATCACAGAGTGAGGTAGATAGAAAAATGTAGGAAAAAATACACAAAATTGCACAGAAATGAAATTTTGTCCATTCCAGATAATACGTGCTATTTCACTATGTCGTTCCTAGTTTGGTTGTGTTACACATGTCTTTTTATCTCTAATGTGACTCTGGAGAGCAGTCATTGCTCTTTCTTATCAACAATGCTCTAAACACAATCACATAAATTTGTCTTGAAACTTTTGCTACCTTAGTAATACTGGCAGAGACTTTGTTGTAGGAATTCTAAGGAAATCTAAAAGGTTTATGTATCCTTACAGTTTACCTCTGCAAACAAGGATTCATTTCCATTCTCAAGACTCCCACTTGAAAAGTAAATACATTAATAATAGGTTTTTCAAAACTACATCTTCAATAACCTTTACTGTTAAATAAACCTCATAGATATTTAAATAAAATGCAAATGCTTCATATGAAAGAGAACATAAAACTTCAGAACTCATGTGAAAAAACATCTGGGAATACTTTGGTGAGGATTGGTTTACATTTTATTTTCTAGAGGTGAGAGTCTGGGGGGTAATAGAAAGGGGTTGTTTTAGACTCTGAGTGTCTCTGGAGCTCAGTAACATATACACTGCATGTCACATTAACACATAAAATTAATTTCTGGAACCCCTAAAGCATCATTAAAACAAACTTCAACAAGACACAGCTGGTGAAAGTGCAACTGGCAGAGGCAAGCACTCCAGTAGTGGTTCAGCCTCATTAACAAGGCTTTGCATAGAAGCATGCACAGTCAATATCATCTTCTCTACCTGCTCCAAATGGACAAATTTAACCAGTCAAACAGTCAATGGATATTTCACTCTGCACATAAACTGTTCCATGTTCTCAGAATATTATTTTTCTTGAACAGAGAAGATGTTTTATGTTCCTTCATGTAATATGTCATTTTTGATGAGCTTTAAAATGATTTTTCTAGAAATGTATGGAGTGTTTGTTTTGACAGAAGCCCTCTGATGATGTATTCCCTTGTTTCTCAAGAACACTTTTATTTCTGTAATGAGACAGGCTATGAAATGATGTATGAGCCTAATTTATATTCATTAATTAGCACTAATTAAAACTTCCAGAGAGGTGCTTGACATATAAATATAGTTATGACCATACGTAAATTTAGAAAATTATTAACTTTTTTCCTTACCCATCCTAAGAAACAAGGTGATATATCTTAGGGAATAGGAATACTGATCTTGAAAATCTGGTTCTAGTGATTAGATTAGTATTTGGACTTTGGAAAATCCAGAAACCCTGAAGAGATAAACACTCATCTATGTAGAGCTGGAGGTGTCAACAAATAACTTATTTCTGGGTATAAATTTACATTTGACAAATTTTGGATGTAAATGTAAGACACTCCAGAATACTGAGCAATACAAAAAATATCAGTGATTTGTTAATAGCACTCTTCTGGCTAATGATGAAATGGTTGATGATGAAGAAGCCAAGGTTAAACATAAATCCCGACTCTAACAACACCCTTTTATAAAATCAGAGTATCGTATTATCTTAATCTATAGTAATACATTACTTCTTTCAAATTAAGTAACATGGCATGGAGTACAGTTGTGGGAGGAAGTGAATAGTTTTGAATTCAGGTACTTTTAAAAGATTGACGCTATGTATAAGATTGACGAATGGAAAGAAACACCTCTTTATCATTATTCTGTTTTGTAGGGTAATAATAATGTGCCTTTGTTGATCTTTATGGAGAAACTTTTGTAAACCCAGAAATGTGCAGTGGCACTAGAATTTGTGTCTTCCTCATGGAAACGTGCACAATGCAGTCTTTTAAAATAAGGGGTCACTATGTAACAGATTGCTGGCCTGAAATTTGCTATGATAACCAAGCTGGCTTCAAGTTCACAAAAGTCCACAGACATCTGCCTCCAGGGTGCTAGTCTTAAAGGCCTGGACCACCACTCTGAGTCAAAGTATTTTCTTTAAACCATTTTTTTGTACCTTAGCATTCACTTTTTCCTGAAATAATGACCTTAACCTTTAGTTAATGTTCAATTTAGAGAACTCTACATCTAGAATACTAAGAAGAGTTAGTCACAGCTTTAGAGTAAAGTTTTTGACTTTTGTGTTTCAGAATTCTCTCCAATTAAGTCAGGAGTTTGGGGTCATGCTTTTAGTCTCAGCGCAGGGTAGGGTGAAGTAGGCAGAGCTCAGTGAGTCAAGGTCACTTGAATTACATAATTTATTTCATCTCAATGTGCATTACAGAGGGAGTTCATTCCAATGGGTTGAGTTGGGGTGAAGAATTTTATCCATTTGAAGGAAGTCTTACTTAAGAGCTCAATTAACTCAACATTGTAACATAAGAATGCATATGAACATTAGGTTTTATTCACAAAACACTGCATACGTAAATTTTGTCTTATGGGATGACATTTTTCAGTAAGTGTACAGTCATGCGATGAATGAGTACATTCAAATGGGAATTTATTGGATATTTAGGTCTTCTTATTAGCAGAAGATAATGATTTTCATCCGTATATTTGTCACATATATACAAGAATGCAGAGATCCCAATAAGTTTGTGGAGTGGGACATACAAACTAAAATAAATAAATAAATAAATAAATAAATAAATAAAATCACCTCATTGAAACTTCTTAATTGTATTTCTCAGAAGAAATATTTCTACATGGAAAAAATAATCTCCTTCAATGTGAGGATGGCATGATGAATATTGTATTAAAAAAAAACCTTTATAAAACACCATAGTATATGAGATTTGTAAGTGTTCTGTTAACTTTTCCTTGAAATCCCTTTATGATCGCTAATAATAAAAAAACTGAACACTTTCAAGGTTTAACCAATCCAAGGATGAATTATAGCTTATTGTCACTGCTGAATTAAAGTTTAATTCATTTAGAATTTTAATATAACAATACATTTTATAAAGTATGATAGAGTACTATTAGTTTCAAATTTCCTGCATGATTTATACAACTATTCCAAGAAACATGTAGTTAATATGAGAAAGTGTAGTTATGTGGAAAAGTTAATAATATGATGCATCAAGGAATTCAAATTCTATTCAGTTTTAAATTATTCTTTTTCTTTTATCTTAATATATATTTTGTTTTTTATTGTATGTATGCAGGTGCATCTTTTGGATGTACATACACATGAGCACAGATTCCGGGAGACATTAGAGGAGGCATCACAGGAGTTAGAGGCATGGTGTGCCAATGTGTGTGTTAGGGATCAAACCCACTCCCTATGAAAGAATGAGATATACTCTTAATCACTGAGCCATGTCACAGTTCCCTTGTTTTTATTTTACCCTTTCTGTTAATATTTGTATTATGAGATTATGTACAACTCATCTTTTATGCCACTAATTAAAACAGTTGTAAATACAAAAGTTGATTTGTATTGGCGATTTTTATGCACAGAATTGGTAATCAGAAAACAAAATAAGAAATAAAAAACAAAGGAGAAAACAGTATCTCTAAGTTCAAAATGCAAAAAGCCTTTTTTTTTTCTTTTGGCACTCAGATCATATGAAGACGAATGTGGAAATATGAATAAGGTGAAAACTATTGAGTAAAGGCAAGAATCACACATGGTTTGAATTTAAGATACCTAATCAAATGACTACTTAGGAACAATTATAATTCACATGTGTTGATAAATATTCCATACATATTCAGCAATAAATTGTAATGTCTTATGAATAATAAGTATAAATATACTATATTAAAATTCAATATTGTTTTTGAAAAATAGAATAATTTATTTTGAGAAGTGAGGCAATGATTATACCCAAGCCTATAATGATAAAATAAAAAAGACAAAGCTAGTATTTAAAAAATATTCTGAGGATTATGTGGGCAGGCTCCTGTTGGGAATGGTTTAAATTCAGGTATCTAAGTTACCTTCTTATATAGCAAAGAAATAGCTTATGTCAAACAGTAGATTTTAGTCAAAGAAGGAAAGCGTTTGGAATATTAATGCTGTATGTATAGATGTTACGACTAAGAAAATCAGCTGTAATGATAAAAATAATTTGAGATCAAGAATTGAAATAAGATGAATTTGCAAATTTCATCTTGGAAATAATGAAAATAATGCTTTGTGTTTTCCTGCTAAAATATATAACAGAGCAAAAAAAAAATCAAAAGCTTAGAAGTCTCTGAGAAATTGAAAGTATCTGTACTTCATAACTAAGAATTTGTGTCAGCTTTGTTCATATCATTATTTACACAAGTATGTTTCCTAAATTTAGCTCCAAGAAGCTCCCTGTATTCCTCCAATCTACTTAAAGGTATTTCTAAGGACTGGTGTGTCTGCAAGGGGAAGTTACAAGGTATGTGTATCACATAATATTAAGATCAAAATCACTACATATATACTCACAATAAGTTTTCAAAATGAAAAAATGATATACCAAGATCTACCATGTCTATAAATCTCTATAAGTGAGGATGACAAAATTCGTCGAGAACTATTCATATGGCAACTGAAAAATCTCATATTGCTACATATGCAAATTCAGGTGACATTTTAAGAAATGCAAGTCTCCCATAAATATGAGTATTAATTAACACTTTGTTGTGAACCTGAGCCCCATCATTTTTATCTAAATGTTTTTTCCTCAAGAGCAAAACAAACATATATGCCAAAAAAATCAAGTAGATTTTTCTCCTACTCGGACCACTGCTTGGTGAAATAAGTTAAGAAATGTCTTTATCATTGGTTTTTCACTATGAAGAACACGACTCTCACTTTCTTCGAACAAAACAGAAAAAAAAGATTGAAAAAATTATGCGCATATGTGTATGCATGTTGATGTGTGAATGCTTACGTGACTATATGAATGCGTGTGAGAGCACAAGTACATGTGTATATGTCTGTGTGTGTATGTTTGTGTATATGTGTGCATATGTGAATATGTTCTCATGATGGAGATCAAAAAGTGATAACCTCAATGAAGGTCCTCACCTTCTGTCTTGATTGAGAAAGCTTTCCATGTTTGCTGGTCCATAGAACAATACTGGTCCAGAAGCTTCTGGACACTTTGGTAGTCATCTGCTATATGCCTAGGATCTCTGCGATTACACATAGACACTGGACTAATACACTCAGTGTGTCTGCGAACCTGAACTCTCATCTGCATGCCAAACTGCCAAACAGCAAGTGTTTTATATCCACTAATATATCTCCCATATCCATTTTATTGTGGAGTATTTCACTGTAGTTAACTTTGTTTCTGAACCATAGACTATTAAGTGTTTAATTATATATGAGATTTACTCGAAAGTTAACAAAAAAATCATCTTGGTTTTCTTGCCATACAAATTCTGTTTATTTTGCTTATGACAATTTCTGTAACTAGCTATATGTGTAAAAGGGAAAACATAATTTGGAGACCTTTTTGGTGTCTTTGGTTGGTGGGTTTGTTTTTCTATTTGTTTTCCACAGCATAACAGAAAAATAAACAAAATTATTTTATTTATAACTCATCCCCTGTGTGATTTCAAGTGTATGTTGTTTGCCACTGAATCCTGATGCTAAGAAGAATGTGTTCCTCCAACATTTCCCAGTGTTCAGGAAATCTGAACTTAGTGTAACTTCAAACCTTTTTCCAAATGAACAATTTTCAAGAGACTAAGAAAAAGCCATATGAACTGCAATAATCTGTGCTTGTTTTTCTTGCTGTCTCACATCTCTGATCTCAATTCTATTACCTCTTGTGCGTTCAGTTCTGTGAATCCCATTCCACACACAAATTTCACTCACCAGAAAAAAAGGTAGACTCAAAAAATGTAATAATTTAAAATACCTCTCTTGACTCAGTGGCTAATGCACTTGCTGATTCTCCAAGCAAAGTGAATTCATTTCCCAGAATCCATCAAGTCATACACAAACATCGATAACTCTAGCACAAATGAATCCAATGTCTTCTTCAAGCCTCTGTGGACACCTACACGCACATTCACTAACCATTATTGACAATTTTTACTACAAATGAAAATAATACACGAATTCGGGGACTGAGACTCTAGTCATCTAATCAAGAGAAAACTGTCTATATTATTTTAAAATCTATCTCACTATGATTTAGCAGTCCCTCAAAATGTAAAAATAGATTCCCTTATACAACCCATCTTAAAATATTAAATTTGTAAGCCAACTATCTATTTAAATTTTCTTTTATTTGCAAATAATTAAGGTTATCCGGCTAGGATGTTGATTATAAACATTATTATTATTATTATCATTATAGTGGTATCAAAATAGGAATATCACTTCAAATATCAAAAATAATGCAGTCTCATTTATTATCACGTTGCGTTTCCCTCATCAATTCACATGCATCCATGATAATTACGATGAGAGAAGACTGTGATCACATTATGGACACCCCATGGTTCTCAGAGACAAAATTTGTGATTTTACTCGGACAGAAGTAGCATTGTACTTCCATGTGTGATATGGATATATTGAATGGAACAACAAAAACAGTGATATGTTAAATATGACAGATGCGGTACTCCTTAGAATCTCTACTTCAAATCAGAACCACTGGAGAGCCTGGTAGAAGAAGCACAGGTCATGGCCGATAAGCTCCGCTGTACTCATAGTACCTCATTTGAGATAATCCATTGTCAAATTACTTAGAAGTCACTTTTGAGAATGAGGTCTATCTACATTTGTCAAAGTTAAGGTATCTGTTTCACAGAGTGGTAAGATGTACAAAGATGGAGAAACTACAGAAATTCTGCAAGTAGTGCACAAAGGTGGACATCACATAGGGGTAAAGTGGGAAGGAACACTAACCATATTAGGCTTGGATGGGCAACAGCGCACAGGGAAGAAGCCCTCCCACAGCCACAATCGCAGCAACTGTAAAGCAAACAAGAGAGCCCAAAATAAGGAAGCGATCCCACTCCCTCCTTGCAGCATAAAGACACTGTGGGTTTTAATCAGAGCTCTGTTTACCACTCAAAGCGTACATTCCTGCAGGTATACAATCAAATTTTTCCCAAAGTGCCATGTAACTTAAGAAATCTTTCAGAATGAGAAATACAGAACTGTTTCTAAGTAGCTATTTATTTTTTTACTTTACTTAGAATGATTATTCAGAAGGAAACATGATGAGCCAATATTTCTGAATTAATTATATGCAATCAATATAAATATGCAAATACACATTCACAAAATTAAGTATTTGCTTCCTTATGAATTCTCTCAGTTATATTTTGAATACAGTAGTAATTATCGGATGACGGATTTTGCCCGTAGTCTCATGTTTAGAGTGAGAGGGTCTTACCCTTTCGACCCACTGATGTTTATTCCAGTGAAACTACTTATCATAGTCTATAGAAACTATAATTCTGGGTGAATCTAAAATAACTTATGAAAACTATCGATTTTAATTTCCATTTTGAATGTTGAAAATGCACTACTACCAAATGTATCATTTCAGATTATAGATATATAAAAATAAATTATATATAATGTGTACTTTTGGGGGGAATGTTGCAAAACTTAAAATGGCCTTTACTTTCGAAATACTGATAGAAAAAGCCTGAGAACATAAAGTAAATTATCTAATAAAATGCAATTTTATTGGTAGAAATCATGCACACTGATGGCACAATGTAGCAAAGAAGTGATTTAGTGCTTCGGTGCCTCTCTCCCATTTATTTTTTGAACAGCATTTGTAGTAATTTCAGCAGAACTGTAATGGGACCGAGTAATGATATCATACACCAGCAGGTCCAGGCTTATGATTAAAATCTTCCTATTTTGGACTTTATTTGAAACATTTCCATCTCATTTTATATGAAAATTCAAAAAGGAAAATCCACACAAACTCTAATATATTTCCAAATGCTTATGAGAACAGAAATGCATTTCCAAAAATAATACCAATGGATTCTTTTACACAAGGCTATACAGGTCCATATGTTTTATTTCATTCCTTCCTTCCCCCTTCTCTTTCAAAGTACCATATAATATATTAATTCTGAGTTTTGATAAGTGTCTGAGTATTTGGTTATTGCTTGATATAAGGAAATTGATACTATAATATTTCTTTTAAATGTAAATATTTGTGATTGTATATTTTAAGATTAACTCAAATTATATATGTAGGTACACATATGTAAAAATTAGCATACTTCACTCTTCAGTCAGATTTTAATGTATTTGTGTTTGTGGAAAGATCTGTTAGCTTCATCCCACCTCTATGAGTAGGATACTAAGGTCCTGGGTGTCTAAGTTTTTCCAAAGCAAATTCTAGTTCAAGACAAGACCAAAATTCAGATTATGCCAGTAGATCTGCCATTTCTGCTCTTGGCTAGCCTGCCACATAGTTTTCCAGAACTTCCAATGACTAAAATGACATGCATGTAAGTTTGCTACTGCTCCTGCCTCATGTCAGCACTCCAGTGGTGGGTAGAAAAGCACTGACCCGTGGCCCCCACCAGTCATCACTCCAGTCTCTTTGTCCTGTACTGGTCTACTGAGAAAGGACCTTTCACTTGCTTGTGTGTCTCTTTTATGATACTGCTAATACAGAGTAGAGTTTGATGATGACTTACATACTGCAAAGTGAAAACAAGGGCTGTTTGGACCTGTAATTTATTTATTTGTTTGTTTGTTAGCTTACATTTTTATTTATGTATTATTTTATAGTGTTATTTTCTTAAGATGGAGATAATTGTTTTCATTGCTTTTACTTCTAAATAGAAATACAGTGAATAACAATCTTCACTGATATTCACTATTAACCATGTGATCACCATATTACTTATGCCTACTAATATAGAACACATGAATATATGTTCATTGTACATACGCAATACAATTCAATAAGTAAAACCAGCAATTATTGAGGTAATGCTATCCAGTTGGTGTTAGTGGATAAATGGTAATTTCATTTCCCATTAATGTACAAATTTCTCAATGAAGAGTTTAAGAGACATATAGAATTTTGCTTTAAAATGCTATGACAGTCAAATATAATTGGACATTATCAATAGTAAGAATTCAAACAACTACAAAAACTTTATGACTCTATCAATAGTAAGAATGCTTTATTCAGAACTCTTAGCTGTAAAAAGTATGATTTTTATGTTCATGGATTAGACTGAATGCCTCTATTTTCTCCCCTCCCTCTCCCATGTAATTCACTATAATAATAACTTTTTTAAAAAATCTCTACAAACGGTATTCTTGAAATTTACTATTCTTTATATCTGTTGTTACAATTTTGCTTTACTATTGATATGTTTAATAAAACAATTAAAAACAATTAAATATGTATTCAGCCATTTCTTGGAACATTGCTTTAGATATTACTGACTCCATTCAGACTTATTTCAGGATAGCTGAATAGATAAACAGGTAACTATGTTAACCTATTGGTATGTGAGTTGACAGCTATGAAACAGTGATAATAATATGCCCTATTTCACAGGACTGATATGAGGCCCCCAACACATAGACATCATAGGAGGGCCGGGTCTGGGTTCAGTCAGAGAAGATGCACCTAACCCTCAAGAGACTGGAGGCCCCAGAGAGTTTAGAGGTCTGGTGGGGTGGGGGTGGGGGTGGAGACATCCTCATGGAAACAGGGGTGGGTTAGGGAATAGATATGAGATGTGGAACAGTTGGAGGGTGGATGCTGAGGGTAATAAAATATGAAATGTAGCAAAAAAGAAAAAAGAATAATTAAAAGGAAAGAAAGAAAAATAAAGTGAAAGTACATACATATGACTTCACTCTACATGGAACTCTTTGGGGCAAAGTAGATATAATTATTTCCAGCAATATCATAATTAATATAAAAATATACACTTATATCAAAGAATAACTGATTTTTGTCATAATTTATGTCCTATTGTCATATTAAGTAATCCTCATTATAGCATAATTACTATTTAACTACATGCAGATAGTTGGTCTAATTTTTAGGGGCAGCATAAGTTTTAAAATTTCCACAAACTGCATTTTCTAAAGACTTAGTAATTAAAGTCCTCTTGCATTCATATGTTATTTTAAAAATCAGGGAATTTGTTTTTGTGTCTTTGTGAAGCAGATAATAACTAAAACAATTCCACAAACAAGTCACTCAACATAAATTCAAAGGTATTTATTTGCCACAGGGACACCATACCAGCAGGTAACATTAAAATGTATGTTTTCCTTAATCAATGAATAGTTCAGAAGAGACAAGTTGAAAATTCCTTCAAACCTAGAAGAAAATTAAAAAAAACAAATTCCAAATGTGCTAGAAATAGCAGCCGATAAGCACTCTTGGAGCTTTGGTTTAGCCCAGGCGTATCTGCATTCCTAGATTCTCTTAGCACCTCGAACTCTGCAAGTAATGCTCGGCTCTTTAAGAAGAGGATGACGACTATAGGTCTAAAATCACTCAGTCCGTTCAGGCTTATAACTAAAAACATATTTTCTTTTTAATAAGATGCCTATTTTTCTGTTTGTCTTCTGAGATTAAAATTTGATAACGGAATTTTCCATGTGTGTGTTTTTGTGTGTGTGTGTGTGTGTGTGTGTGTGTATGTGTGTGTGTGTGTGTGTGTGTGTGTGTGTG